AAATACGATTCGCTTCATTGAATCCGGCGACTTGTTAAATATTTCTTCGCGTTCAAGGATTATATTAAGAATTGAAACAATTACGATGGGAAAAGAAAAGGGAGCATTAAAAAAAAGGGGGGGGGGAACGTTCAGGGACGAAACAAAGGAACCATTTGTTTCGTTCGCTCAAGAAAATTCAAAGGATTTCATATTTAAGCCCACCTAATAGCCCCTAATAAATTCTGCAGGGAATCTTTATGGAATTTATTTGCGATGGCTGAGGGAAATGAAAACCGGTATGTTAAGAAATTTAATATAATCAAATATTCAACACCCTTCAAAGAGCCGAATTTGAAAGCTTCAGTGAATTAGAATATCCAAATATTGGAAATGTTAGAATTTGAAATTATCTTGGTTAATTGAAATATTCAAATTTAAAGCGCTCGAATTTGGAATTATATCAAAGGGTTAAATATTGGGTGTTTCAGGCCGAGTAGTACAACCAGGTATAAGTGTAATCCTCCTTCCAATTGCAAAATCACAAAACCTGAATTTTATTCCTTTAATCAACGGAAACACCTTCTGGAGTATATCTAACGCATCCATCAAGAAGTTAAACAACGACTAAGAAAAATACGAGTCCTATAGTTTGCCACAAATCTATTTCAGAGTGGCACCTTTTTCAGTCCCTTTATCCCTACACGCAACGCTGCTCATCGCGAGATTAGCTTCTACCAGAGTCTAACGATAATTTATCAAAGTACTTCCTGGAAGATTAAACGACCGCCAGGGCAACATCGACTCCACGGTACCACGATGGAACAATAAAGGAAAATCCACCGACTTCTTTCATTTCTTTTTCTCTCTTCTCTTCTCCACTCTCGCGACGCGTTCACGCTGTAGCCCGAGAGAATTATGATGAACGATTTAAACGGTCGCTCACGGGAAAATAAAAGGCGGCAGCCTTCGAACAGCGGGAACAGCAGGCGTGAAACGGTCACAAAGAGAGGGAGAGGTAGGGTAGTAGGGAAAAGATGGTGGAGCAGAGGGTGGAAGAGGGTTGATACGTTTCAGGAGGGTAGTGTTGATGCAGTCGCAGAGCCAGTCAGTGGCTGCTATGGCACGGAGCGGCGTGCGCGCGCTCTTCGACCGATCGACGACGAAAATCGTGGAAACATGACAGAAAAGTATCTTTGATCCCGACGTCGTTCGAATCATCGCAACTACGAACGTTCTTCTATTTAACCGCGTGCTTACATCTCGATTTCATTGTGATTTGAATATTTAAAAAAAAGAAATTAACAAACTACTGATCTCTGTTTTCGACACGGTGATCTTTGAAATGCACCAGTTTTCATTGTGAACGCTTCGAAGAACTCTTTCAAACTTACCGTTCGACTGAATAAAACAAGAATCGGACTTCTATTGTCCGTTCCGATCGGGGCTGTTCCGAATAACGAGCCACGAAGGAACGTTGAAGAAGAATCAAACAGGTGGACGAAAAATGTTCCAGTTTCTTCCAAACTTCCGACGCGTTTCCATGAAATCTATATCGAAACTCGTAAGCATTTGATTCAATGTATTTTATTGATCGAGATACAGGAAGGTGTGATCGTTCGATACGAAGAAAATGTATTAGAAAGATCGTTTGAATTAGAAAGAATATTGCTAATATCAGTAAGATTACGGCTCGCCAGATGACACAACGTGAAAACCACTCTGGAAGATTGCTTCTGGAATTGGCCTCTCTCCAGAGGATTCTCAAAAATATCGCCCTTCGTTAAGTAACACCTGCGGTTTTTATTGTGATTTACGCGAAACGATACACGGCAGACAAATTGTTGAGAAATTTTCATCGCGCGCCCCTAAATGATTCCTCGTGAAATAGATACGGACTTCGTTTCTCATTTCAGAAACCATTTTTAAAAGTTGAGCAATTTCTTTAAGAACGAAATTCGAGGCGCTCCCGGGGTCGTGAGAGGGAAGTTCGTAGATGAAAAATTTAATTATCGAAAGAACGTGTCAGGTAAAAAGTAGCTGTAACATCATTATTACTTCGGTGCTGCTGGTAATTAATGTTTTTTCGTAGCTCCTCAAAAATGTTCACCGAATTAACCACGCGAACGTGCAGTTAGAAACGAACAAATTGACTTTAAATGATTTACGTCTAAGGGATGATTCCGTTGGAAAATAATTGTAAAAAATTTGCGAGTACTCGAGTGTTTTATTTATTTTATCCATTTTCTCAAACTTCTGTTCTGAAAATTTGGATAAAATTTGTTTGTTTGTGTTCAATTTAATTAATGGATCATACGTTTACGATAACGGATGTATGTACAAACAGTGTTGCAGGCAAAAATTCTTTTTTTCACTATAAAAGTTCAGATGAAAACAGACGAATGGATGAAAGAAAAAAAAAGCTGCACATCCTGAAAGAGTGCTGTATGCAATTTTTTGTTTTCAATGGACAAGCGAAACGGTGATAACGTCAGGTTATATCCGCCTATCGCAAAACAGAAACCAATGATGTCCCAATGAACTTCCTCTTTTATTCTTTTTTTTTTTCATTTCTATGATAGATCTCGCGCTTCGATAAGCAGTCAAAAGATACGAATTACTCTGATTCTAAAGTCGTTTAGCTGAATTAATTTTATCAAAAAGTAAAATTTCGAATCTGAAGCATACATGGTTCAAGGACGACCCAATTTGAAAAATGTAATAAATGTAAAGTTTCAAACACTCGTAGGTTGTATAATTTATTGGTGAAAAGTATGCAACTGAAAATATTTAAATTAGTGTTGCAATTTGAAGAATTTTGAATCTAGAACACATATGATTCAAAAACATTCTAATTTAAAAACTGTAATCAAAGGAAAATTTGAAAAGTATGTAACTGAAAATATTAAAAATTTCAAATATTTAATACTTGGAATTCGTAGGAATTTTATTTTCTATTTCAATCATCATTTCATAGGAAATTGATCTAAAATAAGCATTGACGATATGGATTACTAAATTCTAATTTAGAGTTATGAGCTGTGAATAACTGATACACGAGTACTTATTGGAAAATTGAACGTTTAATGGAACAGCTGATTGAATGGTACTTCGGAATTGTATAGTTCGTAAATAGCACTAATAGATATTGACTACCCTCGTATTACCTCGTATTACCTGTATACACTTTATTTCTTTTCGCTCTGATAACTTTTTTTTACGTCCTAATAACACTAGTATTTGTATCGTATACTTTGAGACGTTAAGTAATCCCTATTTTTACATTTAGATAACTTTCCAAAGTGTAACCTTTCGACGGGATAACTCCTTTCCCAAAGAACCGAAGCTTTACTTAATGTGATTGAACCTTTTCGTTCTCGGTTCATTAAACGTATTGAACGTAATTCGAAGGAAGTTTATCTACGATATCTCGATACGCTACTCTAACAAGCTTGATTCATCGAATCCTTTATTATTAAATTAGAAGGTGGTAAATTAAAGTTCTCAAATGGGAACACCTCGATTTTAACTCTTGAAAAATCTTGCATCTTTCCGATCAAATATTTATTAAACCCTTTTGTTTAAAAATAATTTGTTGGTCTACCTATTATCAAATAATTTTGATACGAACCTCTCATTTCGTTATCACCCAGTGTGTATCATAAATTCTTGTAGCGTAACGTGCGAATGTACGAGAGATATTTCACACACGACGTGTTATCATTACTCATTAGCACGCCGGAAATTAACGTTCCCCGGAACCATATTTCCAAATTATAACTACGATCTTTTGTCACCAAATCTCGTTAAGGAATCTAGGAAACTATTTTTGAAAACACCTTTCCACCAATAATTACACTAACTTCTCTAACTTTTGCTCTCCCTTAAGAGGAAGGTGCATATTAACGCCGAATATCGTATAACCGTGTAATCTATAAGACTGATGATTTTGTATGTGATTGATTAGCTTCCCAATATCCATCGCTCTTCATTTTCTCGTTGTTATCCAACTCATACGTCTTCGAAAGGTGGATTACAAAGAGCGAACTATCGTCGATAAGAAATCTTTTTCATATCGTGACCGATAACTCAAAAAGTTGCCAAGAAATCTTTATTCACCCTTACTATATCGACTGGAACCGTATCTAAGACCTCTCTGGAGAGATCAACGATGTCTAAGAAGTTCAGAAACAACGCGACTCTCCGAAGAGCGATCAGATAGAAGTTGCAGAAGCGCAACAGGTAATACCGCCAGGTTGCATGGGTGCTGGTTATGGTGGCGGGTCACGCTTGTCGGCTTCCAAAAATCCGGCTGTCGTCCAAAAATGTGCCGTACTCGAAAATAGCGTGACAACGGAGGATTTCATCGAGAAGCCAGACCGAACAGAGGCTCACGCAACAGGTACGTTCAGTAACAAGTTACGACGCGAGGCGCAGCTCGAAAACAGGAGGAAAAACCGAACCGGCGAGCTTCGACACGAGAGACAGCAGGTCCAAGTTTTTAATTAGTTCGAGGGAAGTACCGAGTCGTTATCGACGAGAGAACCGAGTTGAATCGCAAGTAATTTAAAGTTGCGACGCCAAGGTAGCAGCCGAAGGGTGGCCAAGATTACCCAATCAAAGAATTCCGATAGTTCGCGTGCCCTTTGTAATCTACCCTTTGATACCGTGCACGCGTGGAACGTTGTCGAATTCGTTTGGCGAACGGATCCGTTGTTCGAGAGAAATTGAACACCGTGGTTTGTTCACAGAGAGGAACGGATCGAAATAGAGGCAATCGCTATAATTTAAATGGCCCAACTTCCTAATTTGACAATTTTAACTTTTATATAAAGATGGACGTTCTTATAACTTTTAATCTTGTTCCACTTTGTGAACCAAACTCGACGATTTGCTTTTTGAGAGAATAGCAGAATTGTTCATCGAAACGCACAAGAAACGCAAGAGTGACGACAAAGCAAGAAGGATAAATGAATTGTAAACATGAAACGGAGTATCCGTTTTAAAGTGGAATAACTCACCGTGATGCTTTTTGTAGATACGATCCTTTTTGCTGTTGCATATGCATGTTCGTCACAAAGTAAATTAAAATCTAGAGGACCTTTTTTCGGTTGCTCCTGGACAGTAGGTCTGAAATAAAAACAGAGAGAATGTTAGCTGTGTTGAGATTAAAACAATTACGCGATGCGTTTTTAAAATCACGATTTTTAATAAAATTCTAATAATCAAAAAGGGAATATACAATTTGCTCAATTTGGCATCGAAATAAATTTAGTAGCATCAAATAGGTTCACTTTCCATCAATAATTTCCTTAGCCCTCGAACGCTAGTGACCGGGTCAATCGTGACCCAGATCTACGAAATGTGCACCACAGTGCATCGATTAAAATTAGCCTCTCCAATTTCCAAACGAAAAACTTTCATGCATCGAAGAAAATACTAGAATAAAATTCAGAAGAATTAAGAAAAATAAAAAATCAACTCGTGAAACGAACGATTACACCTTCGAAGAAAGACCATAATCTATTTAATTTTTCCCTGAAAATTTATTCAAAAACCTTCGATCGAAAGCTGAAACAAGTGTCCTTTCTCCTAAACAGAGAATTCAGCATGCCGTTAGCAAGGCACGATTGAGACTGCAATGCGACGAAATTAAACGTCGCTGTTCTCCGGCCCATGAAATCTAGATCGCGAGCAACGCCATTAACGAGGCAACATTAACAATCCCCTGTACAAAACGTTACCAACCCCATAGTACGCCACAACGATCGGACAGTGTCACCGGTTAACCGCGCCACGACTATGAAGTCATGAAGTTTCTGTTGCTTGTACTGTTGGGTTGCGTGTGTTGCTCGGCCAACCACGAGCGAGGCGATCCTTGGATTTCAACCTTACGAAATGAACAACGAAACGATGATCGTTCGCACGATCGCGTCGAACGATCGAATTTCATGGATTTCGACGACGATGAAAGGAACGACGAGGTGGATCGCGTTCGTCTACGTCCTCGTGCGATCCACTTCCGTTTGGAAAATCCGCAAACTCATCATCTGATTCGACACGGTCGACGACAGTTTCGATCAATGGATCTGAACACGCACGTCCAAGTCACTTGGCCCGTGAAGAAAGAGGCGGTGGTCGAGGGTGATCTCGTGCTGGGAGGTTTAATGATGGTGCACGAAAGGGAGGACACGGTGACTTGCGGACCCGTTATGCCGCAGGGCGGTGTACAAGCCCTCGAAGCCATGCTCTACACCCTGGATAAGCTGAACGAAGGGGAGGGTATCGTGCCAGGCGTGAAAATTGGAGCGCACATCCTCGACGACTGTGATAAGGACACGTACGGATTGGAAATGGCAGTGGATTTTATAAAAGGTGAGTTCAAATTCCAACTATCCCGCAATTTTCCAGGAACAGACCGAATAATTTTATTTGCCAGGAGTGTCAAATTATTTTTTTTCATTTTCTTTTATATACGACTTGAAACTTATTGAAAATAAAAGTTTCTCTTTTAAATTCAAATTTTATCGCTTGGACTGTTACGTTGAAGTCATTGAAAATTTCATGATAAAAAAGTATTATTTTTACCTTCACAAATCTTATTTTTACTGAGATAATTCAACAAAACTTGTTTATAAATTGAACTCGCATCGCTGCGAGTTTTAAAATTGTTCCCTATTTGTAAACGAGTTAGGTGCAATGTTCACGGTGATTGATGATTAATTGACTCGTGATATGTCCCATTTATATTTTGACTTTAATATAAATGCAAATTCCAATGTGAATATAAATCGGCGCATCGAATGTTTTCGAGTATACAGGTCAAATATAATGGAAGATGATTTTCTCTGATAAGATCAATAAAAAATAGAGAGTGAAATGCATTTGTACACGCAGATATTGAAAGTTTTATATTGCTCGTGAAATATCATTTTTTAATATTCTGATAAAAATCAAAACGATATAATATTTATAACAACAGAAATAATGATATCAATGAATATTCTCAATTTTCCAATCGCTAAATTCATTTTTCAGCCGTATGACAGGGCTAATTAACTCGTGTGCAAGGATTTTAATTAATGAAAGACACAGGTGCATATATGTATACACTGATCGAGTGCAGAAAATTTCAGCAATATATTTCTTGAAAACAATCTGAAGATTTAAAAAACAATGAAAATTCTTAATAATTGAAAATATTTTATTTGACTCTCATCATCTGCTCTAAATATAAAATTTTTTAATCTTTTATTCTAAATTCTTCTTTAAGAGAAAATATGCAGGAACAACGAAAGAATATTCAGGGATTTCTTCATAAAAATTTGACCGACATTCCGAGTCAGCCCCACGGAGTTCCTCGTCTAAAAATTAGAGCTCTATTCAAACGGTTTCCGCTCGCGGATGACTCCATTTAAAGAGACCACACACTCTGTCCCCGTGTCTTAATGGGAGAGATGCAAAACAAAGACGTAATGCTAAGCAGGTATAACGATTTTCCTGAATCGTTAACGCAGCGACCATAAACTATGGAAGAAAAGAAATTCTTACCTACCTCTAGCGCTCTAATTTATTTGCAAAAATCTTGAAACAACTATCCTGCGCTCTCCAAACGTTACCTATTTTCGAACAATTCCAAAGTGACGATTCTCTACTCTCTATCGGTCTTTGTTTGTCGCTGACTGAAATATTGAGATTCGAGCAGAATATTGACGAGCATACATGTATAAATAGAAACATAATGCTGAAGTATATATTTGAAGAGGAAAATAGAAACTACTGTTGGTTGGGATTTATTGAAACGATGTATGAACTACAATTGGGATAAAAAATAAAAAAAAAAAAACAATGGTACAATGAATAAGAGAAAAATGGTGATAGTAAATATTAATGCAAAATATAGCACAATAATTTAATGTTACTTGTTAGATTAAATATAAAACACATCTTGTTTTCACAAGTTTAGATTGATCCAATTAATAAAAGATTAAATTAGATGGCAAAGTTGCTCTCTAAAAGCATGTTTCCTCAAACATCCGTCGACTAATAATAACCAAACGGCAACCCAAAGTTGATTAATAAATTAATTGAACTCGAACGTGTCTATCATCCTTCCAAAAGGATGATTGCACAATAATTTAATTTACGTTACATTTGGATCTCAAATAGAAAGGAAATCACATTACTTCGAATCAGAAATTCATCTGACAAATTTTCATTCATTTTTGGACGACACGAGCCATCAACCTTTTTGTATAATCCAGCACGTTTTCAATCATCTTTTGATTCGTGAATAACCAGCGAACGAAAGAAAGCCACCACGAAGAAAACTCCTTTCGCCGTCATGAAGAGAGAATTAACACGAGCTCGAGGGTGCAGTTTCGCGACTGCAGTTGCCTCGTTAATGGCTTAATGTCGTTAAGGAGAACGAACACAAAGCCGGTCTACTCTCCGTGAAAAATAGGATCTTTCGAGGCGACGGGACTTCGAATTCAAGGCAGTCGTGAAATAGACGTTCGCCAATTATATGGGTCGACGCGATTAAAAGCAGTGCTGAATGAACATTGGAAATTCGATTAACCGGACATAAAGAATGGTCTGACAGTGACGTGAAAATTACTTATACTAATCGCAAACAAGTTTGCCAACTCCATATTATTCAACATAAATTATTTGCATACTTTCTGGAGCTTCGATCATCAACCACTTGTCATAATGTTATCTTTAATTTTTTAAATGAAATTTTGTGAAGATTTTATTAGTAAGAATAAACGTAACGTTAGTAAATGATACAATGACAAGTAGAACTTAATTTTCAACCGCAAACTCTAATATCTAACGAGCAATTAACCCTTCAATTGTCAACCCCGACGACTAAGAGTTACCTAAGTTCCCAAATGTCGACTCTCATTCCAAGTCGACATTACATTATATTACATGCATGGCACATATTGCATACGGTATTGCGCCCCAAATTCTACCTGCATACCAATCACCATAATTCAAATATAATGCAACATACCTGATTACTGCTACCATAAAATTAACATAATTTAAATTGTTTGAAAAATGGAATTTTGTAATTAGCTAGAAAATGTGGGATGGCCGAGCGATTTCCTGTGCGAATGCGTAAGTTTACGACCGGTGTGATAATTCGCGAAAAATTTTGATAAACCCCCAACGTCATATTCCTGTTTCTCGGTCAATAAAACAAAGCAACCTGATGTCGTACACGCTTTATCAGACATGCAAAAGAGAAAGGATACTTCTCTGATTATTTCTCATTAACGTTCCGTGGTTCGCGTTATCGAGCCTCTTAATCCAGAGCTCGTTTCAAGTCGAATCACGCGAAACGTTGCGGTCAGAAGAAGCTTTCGCGTCTTCGAAATTGAAGCAGAAATCCCTGATGAGTTTCAACAATGGAATAACTTGCTTGCCTGACTGTCGTATCGTAAAAACGAACGTGGTTCGTCATATGAATATTCCGTTTGCCCGTTACGTTGCTCTTGGCCGACCGGCCAAATTACTTTACCGCAGAATGCTGAATATTTAAGCAGACTTTTATACCGGTAGATTGCGTCGGGCTCCTTTGAAATTCTTTATGTGGAGGGATTTGAATAAAAATTCACTGGAAACTCGTGTACCATTTCTTCGCGTCATTGTGAACCTGATTCGCGTCATTTTCAACGAACGACTGGTCTCTACCGACGAGATTTCAATGGAAAATCATATTATTATGAAATCTTTTTATTTTTCTTCGAGACAGCTTTCGCGAAGAGGGAAAGAAACGAGAACCGATAAACTCTGCTTTCATTGACTCGACAGATAATTTACACGATTTCCAGAGCAATTCGTATTTAAATGATTACGAGAGCTCTGCGACGAGAAAATGCTTTTATGTCACCTCTATCGAGAACTGATAGCAGTGAAATTGAAACAGCTTTCTTCGTAGGTGGCTCTTATCAATACTACCCCGCTAGTTAAGAAGCTTACCTGCGCGAAACGTCAAAAGTAGAGATATATTAAAAATTCCCATACGATTCAATGACATAAATTACTGAAATTTTATTCTAGAGGACATTTTAACAAAAATTTTCCTTAAATTATATGACCGTGAAATATGAACACGG